AAAAAGTATCAAACTAAAAAATCAAGGAATTCAACACCTTTAATCACATATTATATGCAATTAATCAATCATTAAATATAATAAAATAGCAATTTTGATGGTTAATCACACCCCCCAACCTGAATATTACGAGTCCCTAGTAATACATAGATCCTAAAATCTAAAAACTAAAAATAAAAACTAAATAATCTAATAAAATAAAACATAAATTCACTTTCGTAGGCCTCACGATTGCATTTAGCATATGCAACAAACCTTTAAACCCCTAGATTCCCCCTAGTGGACGAGTATAGTCTCGTGAGAGTTTTCAGAGATGATACCCACAAACATCACCCTATGATCAAACATCTGAATAATAATTTTATAATAAAAATTACTACAACAATATAAAAATTATCAGTTTCAAACCTTTTTATAAGTACATGCAAAGCAAAATATAGAATTTTATGCTATATAAATGTATGCACTTATCATGTTCCCATATAAACTCGTGTGTAGTGTGAATTAACTATACCAAGTTAGCAATTTATCGGTAATCACCTCTACAACTATCAACTATTCGTCTCAATGCCAAATCTCACTAGATAATTCACTCATAAAAGATTCTCTCAGATTATAGTGACCATTCACTCAAATATCACATGTGAGAAGAAGATATTTAAATCAAAACAAAATAATGCTCACATGTTCATTAAAAAAAAATGTAATCCAAAAGAAAAGAATTTGACATAGTCTCATGAAAGGAAATCAACACATAATATATAAATAATCACCATTATCTTCCTTATTCACACGAGTCATGTAGCCATCAATACACTCTTGAGATCAGATAGGACTTTATTTAAGGTTGTAATGGGGCCTTGGGATTAAGACTTTGAAACGAAGGATATTCAGGAATTCAAATGACTATCCTGAGAGAACATGCACATTACAAAACCAATTTTATTTCCGTGACCTTTCACTCTTCACCCTTTAGAAGCACAATTTACAACACTTTCTCATATTTTTTTTCCTTTTCAGACACATGCTTGCTATTTTTTTCTTTTTTTTTTTTAATTTTCTTTTTCACAGCTAGACATATTGTCTTTCTTTTTTTTTCTCAACTTTTTTTTTTCCAGCAAGACAATTAAATGTATATATTTTTTTTAGCAAGACATCTAATGCAGATATTCACAATTATGCAGAACTCTCTTTTTCAATCAATATTTTCTCAACTTAACAATCTATAAAAAGCTCAATCTCGGGATAATCAAGGGTAAAAGATATTATTTTTTTTATTGGCTTGGTTATTATATGTTGGGTAGTAAAAAAATAAAATAAAATTTTACTTCAAAGCTTAATCATGGCTTCTAGGGATAATAGTATTCAAAAAATAAGGCTTACGCTCAAATAATATCAAAGATGGCCTAAAATCATATCTCAAGAGCTTTTGATACAACACTCCCTACACAAATAATTTAAATTCAAGCAATCATTCATAATATTGGTGTTGACCAAAATAAAAATAATGAGACTATTGAAGGAGATTAGCTGAAAAAATATATTTTATTGAGTAAAGGTAAATAACCCTCCAAAAAAAAGATTGGATCAAAACTCATCAGGGTTTTTATGCACCTCCACTATATGTTTCAAGTTCTCAAGGTAAAATAGCTAACAAATTTTCAACTTGGTAAAGTCTAAAGTGTATAAATTGTGAGTTTTTATAAGAACATGATATGAGATACAAAAATATAGAATAAAGTTCTATGTGATACTTAAAAAATTACAAATTTAAAGCTAAACAAATTATTTCTATATTATGGTATCAATTTATGCATAAAAATGTTATCTAAATATTTAATAACCAACAATTTTTTTTTATTTTTTTTATTTTTTTAGCAAAGTAAATAACTTAAAAAAATTTAAATTAGTAATTTTCACAACACAAAACATACTCATACCCCCTAACCTAAATCTAACATTGTCCTCAATGTAAAAATAAACATTTTAATGCTCAATAAAAATAATGAATAAAAATCAAAGGGATAGGAATATCTGGTGTTGCAACAACTCTAAAACCTAAAAATAAAAGCTCAACAAACAAAGAAAACTACAAATTGAAACAAACAGAAAGAAAACTAAAATTAAACAAAAAAAATAAAATAAAATCTAACTACTATCTACAAATAAAAATAAAATGTCACACTCAATCCGACTTAAAATCAGATTTGAATATGCGTTCATTCAATTTTATTGGCTTAAAAATATGGTGTCGAAGTAACTCATTTAATCGACCTATCCACTCATATACCCAATATATCTTTTGAACATGCAAGAAAAGGGAGATATATACATTTTTATACAAATCTAAAAATGAGATTGCGAATAGATTTTTATCAATTACAACACACAACTCAACTTTCATACCCTCACCAAGATTAGATATATGAATCTCATTATTACTTGTTGATAATAAAAGGTCTTTGGGCTCATTAGTCTCTTGTGGAATAATAATGTCACTTAATTCTTCTCTATCAAAAGTATTAATAGATTCACCCTCAATTTGTAGTTCAGGAAAAGAATCACTCTCACTATATTGACTATTGTCAACCTCTTGTTCTTGTTTTAATGTATTGAGCATATCTTTTGTCTCTTCAATATCTTGACTTATTTGGGCATTGAAAGCTTGTTGGCTTTCATTGAAAGCTAGTTTGTTTTGTATAAATTCACAAAAATGTCTTTGAAAGCTAGTTGGCTTTGCATAAATTCACAAAGAATGTCTTTCAAATTCTTTTCTTGTGGGTCATGGTGAGGTGGATATTGAGGAGGGTCATGTGGTGATGTGGCATATATAGGTAACTGATAATGTTCATTCCCCCAACAAAAATTGGGATAAAAATTTTCAGAACAATGGTCGGAGTAAGGTTGAAAAGAATTAGGTAAAACAATTGTCCCGTCTCTCACTAATTTGCGAGCAGTTGGAATTAAGGGGCAAACCTCAATGGGATACCCATACACATCACAAAGCTCACACAGTTCCTCCATCGGAAAAAATCTTCACACCACATTAAAAAATATAAAAAAATATATAAAATAAAAATTATGAAATATCTAACCTACGAAAAAATAAAACAAATAATAATAATAAAATAAAATAAAAAGGAACAAGATTACTGGATCTGTGACGAATCTCAAATCTGGCAAACCTCAATAGATGATGGTGTGTTCCTTGCCTTCAAACAATTTCCCGGCAACGGCGCCAAAAACTTGCTACAACTTTAGAATTGATCACCCAAGTGCAGGTTGTGCAAAGTAATAAATTTCTCGGGAGTTCGAGGTCGAACCACAGGGAATTGGAAAAACAAGAGACATAAAACAAATAAAAAACAAACTTGTAAGAACAATTTATTTAAGAGATTGTTGAGTTGAGAAAATATTTGTTGGAGTAATTAAAATAATATAATAAAAATACTAGAGCATCAGGTACTCCCTCTCAATTCCATACAATAATGATTAATGACTCAAAACTTAACTTGGAACAAGAATCAGATGTCGGTTGATTCAAATAACAAATCAAGAAAGAAAACTAAAAGTTATAATCAAAAGATTATTTACGAACTTGAATAATCATCCAATTGTATTATTTTATAAAATAATGATAATTACTTCAAGCATGGAATAACCAGTTATTTACTCGCAGGAAAATTCAAGCAATCGATGTACATGACACAACAACTCAAGGATTTTTACAGAGCAAAAACTTTGCTATAAGATTAGAAGTTAAATTAAAAAAATATCATAAATCATTAAAATCAGAATCAATAACATTACCGTACTTCATTAAGAGGTTCTCCTCTAGCCCTAGCCAGACATGACAAACTAAAACTAGAAAAGAAAAGATGGGAAAAGAATCATCCCATAAATCCTAGATGAGACCCTTATTTATACTAAAAATAAATCCTAAGTATAGGTAGAAAATATAAGGTTGTCTTGAAAGGAATTCCTTTCCAAAGAGAAGTTTTGTAAGGTTAAATCTAGTGCATAAAATCTTTGGGGCGCGGGTACAAAATCTGTCCAGATTTCGAGCTTGGATTTTGCATATTGAGAGGATGATTCACGAAATGTTCATGAAATACACTTTTGTAGACCTTGGAGTCTTCTTGTCAATCCCCAAATATCGAGTAAATCGGATATCAGAGTCAAAAGTTATGACCAGAATACTGAAAACATGTCAAATCCTTATTCTTTTAGGATACTTTCCTAATCCAACTTTAAATGAGTTTTCTTCCATCTTGGACTCTTATAAGGATTAAATTAATGTCATATCTTTAAGTCTTCCTATCTCAATATTGACTCTTCAATCCTTATTAGTTGTGATTCTTCCTCTAGTGATTGATTTACTTGTCTTATCCATTATTACTTTAAATCAACCAATTTTACCTGCAAAATAAACCAAACAACTAGAAAAAGTATCAAACTAAAAAATCAAGGAATTCAACACATTTAATCACAAATAATATGGAATTAACCAATCATTAAATATAATAATATAGCAATTTTGATGGTTAATCAATGAGCTAGCAATGAGTCCTTATAAGAATCTATTGGAAATAATTGCCTCAGCCCGTCCATGCGATAGGTTCTTATAGAGTGTTTCTAGCTCATGATAAGTTTTTAACTCATAAAAATGTGTGTGAAGCTCTTCAATTTATTCCTAAGACTTATGCATTTTAGGTTATAATCATTCTTTACTTATAAAAATAGCCTTCCAACTTGTTTAGCAATCACCTAAAGTAACATGACAGTAGAAGCAAAAATTCTTAGTTACATTCGAAAGGCAAAAGGGTATTATAAAGACCAAGATGTACAAGCAGTTATTCTAGGGCTTGGAGTCCCTCTTCTTCAGCTCCTTCACTTGCTCCCTCAGCCGAGTGTTATCTTGGGAAATTATATCTTGCTCAACCTCACTACGAAAGAGCTCCCTTTTCTTGACAATCAGCTTCAATTAAAGCTCAAGATTACTAGAAGTAGAGAATCTCTTCCTGGAGCTCAAAGGCTCTAGGGTAAAAAGGGACCCCCCAGAGCCTCATTTTGGAAGAAAAAGCCCTGTCTTCCTCCCTATTCTCAGGAGGGGGCATAGGAACAACATCTAGGGTAGTGACCTGAGCAATAGTAGAAGTAGCAGTTGTAGCAAGAACAGCAGCAAGAGAAGCAGTAGGATTAGGGCCTAACCTAAACCTGAAAAGGTTATGGGCTGTGATCATTCTTCCAAAGGGTACCACCTTGAGCTGGCATACCCTATAAACTCAAGTTGCCTTAGTAGAAGATAGCCTCGGAACCTTATTTATGGTAATAAAAGAAAGACACAGGTGAGTTTCAAAAAGTAACGTATATATATATGTGTGTGTGTGTGTGTGTGTGTGTGTGCACTATATATTTAGGGATGACAAGTTTACCCAAGTGCGCGAAACTAGAAGAGCATCAATAACACCTTCTCCAAACTCCCAGTCAGTCCTCAAAATGAAGAAAAAACGACGCTGCCACCCCTTGGGAGAAGTGGGAGCATCAAGAATCACTTCAAGAACATTTTCCATCCTAGAAAAGTGAAAGAAATAGAGAGGAACATCACAAACCAAGTGTAAGAAATGGAGAAACTCAAAAACCCAGGGGAGATGATCATTGCCATAGAATCACCACGCAATGAAGCAACTCAAGAGGAGGCCTCACCCCTCTGGAGAAAGTCATGAGGGGCAAAGGCCAAAGAAGGCTAGGATTCGTTTTATAGAGGGATGCAAGGGAAAACAAAGCCTGACCTCAAAGGCCCCTTAAAGAAACAAAACTTCCTTGTTCGAAGGAATGTATAGGGCTCATCTGCCATAGTAGCATTATTAGAAACGCCTGCAGAAAACTGTTAATGATCTCGAATAGCTTCACCTTTGTTTCCTAAAAGAGTGCTAGGTTCTAGAAAAGTCGCTCAGCGAGGATCTTCCAAGGGAATAGAGGCACGCCGCTCAAACAAAGGATAAAGGGATAAGTCCATGGAAACATGTTAAAAAGTTAGCGAAGAGACAAAGGAAAGTAAGGGAATTTAGAGCAGCTTGAGAAAGCAGAGTGTAAAACCTCTCGGTTTTATATCCAAATAAAGCAACGGTTCAATCATCACCAGTTAAGGAAGAAGTTTAATGCAAGATAATTATGGCAAGTATATTTAGCTACCTTCCTAGGATCGTGATGATTCAGCCGTATAAGGAAGCATAACCGTCAGTAAAGGAACGAAGATGACAGGTGGAAAAGTGCAAACCCTTAGTGCAAGGTCATACCTCATGGAGGTGTTTTAAATGCACAGGCATGAAACACTGAGAAATACAAAGACAACCCGTCCACCCACATAGTGCAAATCTAAGTCATGAAGGCCAAAAGATAACTGCTGATCTTAAGGTAATCAGAAAAGGTTCGTAGCTCATACTCAAAGGAGCCCATGAACTTGAATTAAATTCTAAATACCCGCACCTCAGGCTTGGCAATTAGAATTATAGGGGGATGGAGAAGGTGTCTAGAAAAAATACCAAAAAGAGACCAAGCCTCTATCATAAAATAGTTTTATTACAAAGCAACAAAAAAAAAAATGAAACTCCCGTAACAAAAGTTCAAAGTTTTACAAGCCAAGACAATTGTTCTCACAATTCCTAAGTATTCCCTAACAAGTCCTACCCATCCCTCATGGGAACAGTAGAACTCCCTAAAGCTTGAAAAGGTACCATGGTAGGAAGCTCTCCCCTTTAGGAAATTCATCCCTTAGTGTCGAGGTTGACATCTCTATCCTTCTATTGGTGCCCTTTTCACCTTAGAGGTTGGCTTTGAAAGCGTAGGAGGAATAAAACATTCGAAATCTACGCCAGGGTACTTCTTAATGGCCTAATCTCAAAGATTCTCATAGTCATTGACATATTTGTCATCACACTCAGTTTGCAACTACTTTAGAATTTTCTCGTTGGTCTTCAAGGTAGATTTCAGTGTGGCCACCTCCTATTTTAGCTCGATGGACACCCAGGTGGCCTTATCCCTCTCCTTCTCGGTTTTCTCCTTTTCAGCCTTGTTGATGTTGGCTATGCTGACCAAAGCACTCAGCTCAGCCTTTTTCTGCTTCAACTCATCCACCAAAGATTTCTCAAATATCCTTAAGGATTCGATCTGGGAAGCCTGATCTTCCAATTTCCACTTGGCATTCACAAGTCTAGTGGCCACCTTCTTAGAATTTAAAGCTAGACCTAATAGAGCTCGGATATGGACACCAGCCTACATAAATGCGAGGTTATAAAAAAATGGAGCTATAATAAAAAGTGATAAGAGGAAACCAAATATTACCAGAACAAGACCATGAAGAGCATGGCCAACTTCATCATTTGCGCTGAGCTCAAACGACTTAGCAATGTCCAACTAGACAAGATGCCCAACATTTTGGATGCCGCCAGAGCATGATCCCATATGAGGGAGTCCTCTTCCACTACGGCAAAGGTAATAGAGCTCGTCTTGTGAGTTATAGGTATCACCATGAGAGGGAGCATGGGCAGAGGAGCATCAGGACCTTGTGAGCTATCAAGATTGGCCCTTAAAGGTTGCGGTGTGTCAGTAGGGTAGGAAGAGAGTTATTGGACACTCGTGGGAAGTTTAGTACCCAATTTTTCTACCTATTTGGTCCTTGGAACCTTTGAGGGCCAGGTACTAGGGGAAGACTTAGGGTCATGGGGCTTGGACAAGCGCCCTTTCTTTTGGAGCTATGTTTCCCTTGCTTCCATAACTTCTTGCAGCTTGGGGAAAATGGATTTTGAGTCTAGAATAAATCACCAAACTGAGAAAAACTACCAAGGGAACAAGTCTAGATGGAGGATAGTTCCAAACCCAAATCCTTACCTATAGGGTCATCTTGGAAGTTAGGGGCAATATTTTCACCTTCAGAAGGGACAAAGGAAGATTTGAAGTCCGTCGGTCTTAGCTCGTGCTCAACTAACCTTCCAAGAGAAATAAGCTCTTTGAGGTTCCTTGCATCACTCTTACTAAACGAGGTAACACTAAGCTCTTTGGAAGGTGCAAGTTTGAAGCAATGTTTTGCCAGACATGACAATAACATTGGAAAAGTGTGGATGCCTTGTTAAAAGAAAATGGAGCGCACAAGAAAAAACACTCACTCAAGTTTTGAGGCTTGTCCTCCCAAAGCTTAGGAATGCGAAGGATGTCGAAGAAGCTCGGCCATAGAGGGAACTCCCACAAGACCTTTCTCATGCCACAAAACTAGGAACCCACTAAGTTTCCCCAAAAGTTGGGGTATAACCTAGCAGGACAAACATTATAAAATAGAAGAACGCTCTTTAAAAAGGGGTGCATAGGGAATCGCAAGCCTAACTCATAGGCAGAAGTAAAGAAGCAATTCCTCCTAGAATGGCAAACGTAGTAGCGATCAATCTTGGTAAGGGAATAGACCTTGATGTTAGAAAGAAATCGGTAAAGATCAATAAAGGTTTGAAGATTACTCCTAGTGACCCAGCTAATAATTAGGTTTACGGTGAAACTACGTGCTTCCTCAGATCTCCCGGCTGTGCTAACCCCAGAAAGGTGAGGAGGGTGAGTCTTAGGAATGTTTTGCTTGGAAACACATTTTCTCTTTCCTCGACCTAGGGACTCTTCCTCGAGAGCACTTTTTTTGGGGGGAAATGGAGACAATGTTTCAGGATACATCCTCCCCTTGCAAAGGCTAGGATGAACATCCCCTGATAACCTCACAGGGCACCACCTCAACATAGGCATCACAATCCGCCTCCCTGAACATACGGGCAATAGAAAACCCTGTGGTCTCTAAAGAAACTTTACACATGGATGAAAGTAAGGATTCAAAGTAACCTAACTCGGATGGAATCCGAGAAAGATAGAAAGTGCAATCTTTGATGGAACAAGGATCAAAACACCAACGTCCTAAGAGAAAGAAGCTACTTGTATTCCAAAGATCTAGGAAGGGAGTAACTACTGCTAGAGAACCCCCTGCATTTCTAAAACAACAAAAATAAAGAACCAAGAAGTGAAGTCCTTGAGGCCACCATGAAGGGCCAAAGAGATCCAGAATGAATTCAAGGACAAGAAAGGAAACAGGGAAATGTGTACCTAAGAGGGTAGGTAATGAGCAAAGATAGAAAACCTAGGCGCAGGCAGATGGAAATCACCAAGGAAGTAGAGCTCAAACCACCAATTTAGTTCCCTATAAAGGCTTCGCATGGACGAAAGGTAGTAGAAAAATGAAGTGGTAAAGTAGATTTACTGTAGCGGTAAAATTATCATTTTGCCTTTGTTTTCAAAAGTTTAAATTTATCGCGTTTTACATAAACCAACACATAGCAACTTCTTAGGTTAGCTGATGGTATACGTGTATCAATTGACTAACCCTAATAACCCAAAAAGACAAGCCATTCATGAGGGGTATTTGAGTTACTCAATTGACCATATGATAGTAAGTAGGTTCATAATAAACCATAACACATCAACTTCTTAAGTTAGCTGGTATTAATAGGCTATAACATAACAACTTCTTAGGTTACTTGGTCGTCTACATGTGTCAATTGACTAACCTTAATAACTCAGAAGGACAAGCCATTCATGAGGATCATTTGAATTACTCAATTGGCAATATTGTAATTTGTACGTATATAATAAACCATAACACAACAACTTCTTAGGTTAGCTGATGGTATTAATAGGCTATAACGCAGCAACTTCTTAGGTTAGTTGATTATAATATGTACCAGTTAAACAATCCTAGCAACCCAGAAGGAAAAGCCATTCATGAGTATCACTTAGATCATTAATCTGATGATTATACCATACGACAGTAAAACATCCTTAGTGCTCCTTTGGAGGTCAAGCCATACAGGTGGAACACTGTAGATATCCAACTGACAATATTATTATGTATACCAGTTAAACCACCTTAGTAATACAGAAGGACAAGTCGTTCATGAGGATCACTTAAAGTCATTAATTTGATAGTTTTATATACCATGAAACTATTAAAACATCCTCAGTGCTCCTTTGGACGTCAAGCCATACCGATGGATCACCATAGATATTTAACCAGCAGGCTGATGATTCACCGATAACATAATTCTAGGTGTAACCCCAAAATTACGTACATCATTGTATCATGTATAAAGTATATAATAGATATATATATTTCCATAAGTTAACCAATATTATACATATGTTTACCTCTCACTAGAGGATATAAGTAAGTATTCACACCCCATTACTACAGACAAGTAAGGACTGCGGGTAGTTTTCATTACAACAATAATTAAAATACAAACTCGGACACTTTTTTCACAAGAAACAACTAAATTACAACCACCATTCTTATCAGTTAAGACAAAAAGGTGGCGGTAGTTCAACTATCCGAATAAAAAGATAACACAGAAATATAGAAATATAGAGTTTTGTCTGGAGAGTATGATGGACCGGATTGTGTATGACTTTCTCTTTCTCTCTTTCTTTTTCTCTTTCTTTTATCTCTTTGGATTTCTCTCTGGAGCTCCCCTTTCTGGCCAGCCTCCTCAAGAACAAGGAGGTCATGCATATATATAGGCTAAAGGAAGCATGAGGTGGAGAGATCATCATAAGCCGCCATAGAGCACCGTCTGGATGCCCCTCCACCATCCATATGGTGGTGCCTTGCTGATTTTTGGATGCAAATCTTCTTGTCTTGCTGGCTATTCCTTGGTTGAATTATTCTTTGATCCTTTGCACTTTTAAGCTTTGACACATTATTCCTTGTATTTTCCGTCAATTCCACATCAAACCCTGAAATTATTAAACATATCGCACAAAAAACCCTAGCTTACGCACAAACCCTAATTGATAGATTTTAATTGTTTTATCTTACCAATTTGAATTTTTTTTATGATTCTAATTCATATACTAATTAGGGTTAATCAACAAGCAATAATGAAAGCTTCTCCTTTCCTTCTTTCAGCCAAGCTCCAACCTACAAACTAAGGGAAAGAACAAAAAGGGAAATAAGTAAAGAGGAGAAGAGAAAGAAGAAACTTAAAGCACTAATCCTTTATGTAATAAAGGCCCAAAAAAACATAAGTCCTCCAAAAACATACCTCAATTATCTTCATTCGTTAAATGATGTTTGGGGGCAATTGTGAGATACCAACTTAAGTATTTCTGGTCAGTAGCCACCTTAGGAGGACTACGCCGGTCGACACTGACTTTCTGAAGCCACCTTGGTTCGGCCACCTTACTTCCAATTAAGCTACTACAAGCTCTCTTGCCTATCTCTATTAGATGACTCTTGCTCAGCTAGGGATCAACCTGGCCTAGAGTCCCAATACGATACTATTCCGAATATCTAGGAGCTGGTGACAAAGCACCATGGAGCTAGAGTCCTAATCTAACACTACTCCAAACAACCAGGAGCTAGTCATAAGGATCTATGAGCAAGAGTCCTGGTCTAATTGTACCTTGAATTTTTAGGAGTTGGTGATGAGGTCAACCTTATCACAACCTAAAGTTCGGGTTCCTTTGGGATACAACTTCCTATCATTATAAATAAAGGCCAGGTACCAGGTAAGGGCATTCAATCCTAGCCTATTCCCTACATATTATCTTTGACTCACTTTCTGACTTAAGCATCAAAGTCTCTTTGGTTGCCTCCAACCATCAGTTCACCTAGTTGTTTTCTTATCTTTCAGTTTACTCAAGACTTCCTCATTGTCCTCTCCGTCCATACAAGGTAGTGACTCATAGTGTGAAATTCTCTCCACACGACTGTAATTGTTACTGTTAATGTTATTATGTCGATGTTACTGTTATTTTGTTGTTGTTGTCCATTTTGTAGTATAGATTTGTATGTCATTAATGATAAGTTAGTCTTTATGCCTTTAATTTTCCTTTAAGCCCCAAAAAGATTACGCGAAGACTTCTTGCCTAAAAGATCCAGAAATGTGGACCGGCCAACAAAAAACGCTTTAATTATTTATGAGATTTTTCTTTGGGCTTATTTATGGGATAAAATTTTAGGCTCGTGTCATAGTAGAGATCGATATATTTTTGGACCTTCCATGTGGGTTGGGCCTAAAGCCCCTGCTTCAATTTGTATACCATAGGGTTAGCCCTAACTACTTTTTTGATATCTTTGAATTTTGATTATTAACAACTTTTTTAGAACATGAATTGTTTTCCATATGTTTGCACCAATTATTTTGAGGCGAATGTTATATGTAAATTGGGAAGAAGAATTTTGGTTTGGCAACCAGAATGGTTTTAACCATACGTAATTTTAAACTCACGACTACAACCTAAACTTTGAGAGTATACAATCAACCACAAACCACACAAGTCTATTAAACCCTGAGTTTCTTGCGATGTGGCTTGAAGTCAGGCACATGAATGTATTGTTCACATTCTATGATACCTCTTTTTATTTTTTTTAGAGGTGTTTGAGTTAGGTTATGCGCACCTTGATTAATTATTTTTTAATCTAATCAAAAGCAGGTCATTCACACCGGAACTAAAGTATTCATAATAGATAAATCCTTCATGACCTGTCCCCAAGAAATTGTCAAGATTCAAACTTAAATTATGTAAGTTTACAACTCGTCTCTGTTACTACTTGAGCTACCCCTTAAAGTTACCTTTTGTGTTACTATTGAATCTTGAAAATAGGATTAACTTAAAAATATAAGAGGATCTCCAAGGGTATTCTTTAAAATAGCTAGTCAAAATATATTAAAATATTACATTCTTTATTTTAAAGAGTCACTTTTACAAAGTTATTCCAACAATGCTCTCTGTATAACTAACCACTATTAATATTTTAAGCTAAAAATATTGCACAGCTTGACACGTCATCAAAATATAAAATAACCAGACCCTTGGAGTACGGAAAAAGTTATTTGGTTCACCAAATGTAAAATAGCTAGCTAAAGTGGCTCTCTAAATATAGAAAGTCATTTAACCAAAGGTAAAATAGCTAGTCAAATAGTTAGTCCCTTGAAGTAAATTTTTGTGGTTTTACTCTTTAAATTAGCTAATAAATATAAAAATAGCTACCACTTGAAGATGCCCCCTGATTACGGACAACAAGAATAAGAGCAAAAGATACGTTCGAAAAACATAATTTCTAAAAGAGGTTAACTTTAATCCACTCTTGCGTCCTTTCTGCAGCATATGGATTGTTCTAGGTATCATCTATATTCCTTTCCTTGGCAGATACCAAAAAAAATTGCCCACTTTCTTGTAACTATCGCAATGACTTTCTTTGGTGGTCTTTGACAGTAATTTACATTAGCCTATATAAAGTGCAGATCATGGCATCTTTAGTTCACAGCAGTTCTTACCTTCCATTTCTCGACTGCTCTTTACCTTCTTCATTCCTCGTTCTCTATTTTTCGTATCCATGGAGACTGCACTTTCTTCGTACATGAACAAGATATCGAAGATAGACCTTTCATCAGTCGGGTTCTGCGTCGTGGCATTGCTTACCATTTACATTACGCATTGGATTTATAGATGGAGGAATCCCAAATGTAATGGGGTTCTCCCTCCGGGTTCCATGGGCCTCCCCTTCATAGGGGAGACCATTCAGTTGATCATTCCTAGTGCCTCTTTGGACCTTCCACCTTTTATCAAGAAGAGAATCAAAAAGTAATGCAAGAGTGCTAAGTATACATGTCTGAAAAAACTGGAAATTTTGTGCATTTCAGAGTCATTACTTAAATTCATGGTTGTTTGCACGCTTGATCACGAGGGAGATGATTAATTAATGGTTTTGCAACATCTAACTTCGATTATTTTCAATTCGATTAAGATGAACTACTTTAAAATTGATTTCTTTTATTCCTTGTTCCAGGTATGGGCCAATCTTCCGAACAAATGTGGCCGGCCGACCGGTCATAATTACGGCGGACCCTGAGTTTAACTACTACATCCTTAGACAAGATGGGAAGTTGGTTGATACATGGTCGCTGGACACATTTGCAGAAGTATTTGACCAAACGAGTCAGTCTTCCCGAAAATATACCAGAAACTTGACCTTGAACCACTTTGGCGTGGAGGCTCTCAAGGAGAAGCTACTTCCACGGATGGAAGTTTTCATTCGTGAAACTCTTCGCAGCTGGTCAAGTCAGGAATCTGTTGAAGTGAAAAGCGGGGCTGTGGAAGTAAATTTTATGATTAAACTCATAGAAACTACTCTTAATTGCATCAATATATGTTATAGTTTGAAGTGCCAAATGACGTCTAGTTCAAGTGAATTTCATGCATAACTATGATCATGACTATTGTCTTTGGCCATGACAGATTACTATTGATTTCGCGGCAAAACAGTTGTTTAGTGGTGATCTTGAAAATGCACCATTGAGGATGAGTGATATGTTCAGAGACTTAGTAGAAGGTCTAATGTCCTTTCCATTGAACATCCCTGGTACTGCACATCATAAATGTTTGCAGGTAAGTAAATATTATTTCCCCCTCCCCAAAAAAATAATTCATAGCTTGTTTCATATTTGTCAATTTTGATTATATTGAAAATTTATCCAGATTCACAAGAAGGTCAGACAAACGATGAAGGACGTGGTGAACAAGAGGCGAATGTCAGCTGAGAATCGAAGGGATGACTTGCTTGATCACCTCATGCAAGACATGAATACGGAAACATTCTTAACAGAGGATTTTATTGTTCAGCTAATGTTTGGTCTTCTATTTGTAACCTCTGATTCCATATCAACAACAATGGCATTAGCTTTCAAGTTACTCGTGGAGCATCCTTCAGTGTTGGAGGCATTAATTGTCAGTATTCCGATGATTTAGTATATTTTGGAGCTATTCTTATGCATATATTATCTTCTTAAACTGATCACAACAATGCTCATTCTTCAGGCTGAGCATGAGGCAATCCTTGAAAAGAGAGAGAATGCTGATTCTATACTCACATGGAATGAATACAAATCAATGACTTTTACGATCCAGGTCCGTTCTAATTTAACATATTTGTCTCTTTTTCCATAAACATGGCTTTGAAATCCACTTACAAACTTTGTGCTGCATGGGATACAACAGGTTATCAATGAAGTTCTTAGGTTGGGAAATATAGCACCAGGGTTGTTTCGACGGGCATTAAAAGATATTCCCACCAATGGTACGGTAACAAAGATTACTTTGGTGTTAGCTTTAGCCACATAGATCAAATGAAAACAACAATTTCGATTCTCAATTGCAGGATACACAATTCCAAAAGGTTGGGTAATTATGATTGCCACTGCTGCTCAACACTTGAACTCTAATACATATGAGGATGCACTTACATTCAATCCATGGCGTTGGAAGGTGAGAGATTTAACCTCTTCCATTGCTCCCCCCCTCCCCAACACACACACACACACAACCCCAGCCAAAAAAAAAAAAGCAATCGGAGATTGAATATCTACTTGTTTATTTCCTTTTTAATTCAAAAGGACCTCCAATCAAACGTTATAGCTAAGAATTTCATGCCATTCGGAGTGGGGATGAAGCAATGTGCTGGCGCAGAATATAGCAGGGTGTTCTTAGCCACCTTTCTACATGTCTTGGTCACAAAATACAAGTAATTACTTCTCTTGGTCACAATACTTATGTGTTTTTCAATCTTCTAGTTGGGCTCAAAAGGGTACAAAAATATAACTAATTCGGCATCACTAAAACTGTAACAATTCTCCTTTTCTCTGCAGATGGGCAATGGTCAAGGGAGGCAAAATTGTCCGAACTCCCATCATAAGATTTCCAGATGGATTTTACTTCAATATCTCGGAAAAAGCATAATTGTCGAGTTTGTTGATTTAAGTTTCTTAAAATCCCATCAATAAAACCATTTTCTGGAAAAAGGAGATGGTGTTATTCGTTAAGTTGTGTGAAAATCATACTTTAAATCATTATCCTACTTGTCATAGGCTTAGAAAATGTGTTGGACTTGTAATAAATTGCCACTGAATAACATTGCCCAATTGGGCACCCCAGATTAATGTATTAATTTTCACGTGAATTGGATAGCTTGATCTTGAAATCTTCACTGGGAAAGGAAATTTGAAACAACTTTTAAAATTGTAATTGCTCCAAGTGTTAATGATCCGAAAATATCAAACCCATTAGTTACTTTCCACTCAGAAATCTCGGGATCCGTTTGGTTAGGAAGAAAAAAATGATGGAAAGTAAAAATGATAGAAAATGAAGTGAAAAAAAAAATTATAGAAAATATATTTTCATGCATGTATTTGGTTAGAATGAAAAATTTACAGGAAAATTTTAAAACATTTTCATTCTATTGTTTGAAAGAAAATAAAGTTATAAGAATTTTTTATAATTGTATAAATTATCCTTAATTATATTCAATAGGTCTAAAAAAGAAAAAAAAATTATGTAATTACAATTGAAAGTTAAATTTTTTTTAAAAAGTAGCTCGAAACATAATACTTAGACAATCACTAACACAAATGTCTGTGGGCCAAATTATGTGATTAATTAAATTCATACCAAACTTTTTAAAATTAATAACTAATAAAATATTTTAAGAAAAATAAGAGTAAAATGAGAAGTTAGTTATGTATCACAACTTTCTTGCATTTCCTTGTGCTTTTTACTAGAAAAAAAAGTTGGTTATTTGTGAGAAAATTCAAGAATGAAAAAAAATTATTTTTTCTATCATTTTCCTTTTCATGCTAACCAAACACATGAAAATTTTAAAAAATTAATATTTCTTACATTTTCTACCATTCTCCAACTAAATAAACGCACCCTCAGGGTGTGTATTCGAATGCACAATGCTAATCATATGTTTGTTATCCTCTTCTTGGATCCTCCTTGACAAATCAAGACCGCCCATAGGAGTCTCTGTAGCGATACAGTCAGGGCCGGAGTCCTCCTCAATTTTTTTAATAACTCGTGGATCCTCCAATTTCTTGTAAATAATGCATATCTAATCAGATCAACAAATTTTACCTTATTGAAATTACATTCACTTTTTAAAATTAATAATAGACCAAATTTTGCGGAATTGTATTGATCCTTACTATTAAAAAATGAATTAGAAGATTCATCAATTATTTTGAAAATGGAAAACATCTTAACCAATCACACGAGCTTTTAGGTGGATTTTTTGGATTCACTGATTATCAACGCTTAATACACTTGGGCTTTATGGGGTGTAGATCCTTCGTATTACATTTTTACTCAATTTTAGTCGGTATTAGATTACCTGCTATAACTAGGTGAATGTTTACTTATATATAATGGGTCTCTGTAACACCCCAACTCGGGGTACAATATCTGTCACAATACAATAAAAACAAAAACTCAATAAAACAACTATATATTCTTGTCTACTTTTTTTTTACACCTTACTTTATATATATATAAATACATAAAAATTCACCAAATTCCTTATTGGAATGGCTCGTCATGATCTCTACTTATTTACGGACCGTAATATCGATTCCAAGATATGACATAAAAAAAATATAATTTAAATTTAAGAGACATATAACATGACCCTCATGATGACATCTCAATCAACCCTCTAGACTCAGTAGTGGACTTTTCACGCCCTTACGATTTTTCTTGAAAAGTTATCAAGACCATTAATAAGAACAAAGATGCGATCAATATTTATGAGCACAACTAGTGATAAAATTTTATTTATTTATTTAGGAATAACCTTAACAATGTATCAGGTACTTACTTTCAAACTACATTTCACTTCATACACGTTGTTCATTTACATCACATAAACATAACTTGTATATATTACATCGGCAAAATATACAACACAGATATTTACTTTCACATAATTAAATAACGTCACACAATGAATACCCTGCACATATACAAACTAAACGTCACGTAAATAACAACTGCCACATAGACTATATTTAGTTGCACATATTCTTGCACCACATAGGCAACCTATATCGCAAGCTTGTATCACCTTATAGATATCATTCGTCACTTGAATAATCCAAACCACACTAATAGTTTATGTCCTTCAGACGACCTACATCACACAAAGAGTTTTTGATCATGTCACTTACACGATTTCACTACATAATCAAATACCGTCACATAGAGGACTCAAGCCACATAAATACTTCATGTTACTTAGACCACCTAAATCACATTTTCTTTCTTCTCACTGAAACGACTCTTGTAATACTACTGTGTGTATCCGTTCAATTAATGATTTTCTCTCTCTCTCTCTCTCTCTATGCATTTTGTCTATGTTCTTTGTTTGTGTTTTGTGAGTGTTTGTGTTTTCCCCCTTTCTCTCATTGTGAGTGTGCGTGTGTGCGTTGAGTGTCTGTGCGTTGCGTATGTGTTTAAATTGTTGATGTTGTACAGAATTGTTTGTGGGTTTTTCACTAATATATGTGCCTATTAATTTTATTTAAATAGTATTGGACAATGGTGCTATATAAAATTTAACCAATAAAGTGTTTATATCAAAAACACAGTAAAAGTACTAAAAGGCCTTCAAAGTAAAAGTACAATTTAATAGTGAAGACACTGTGTAACTCGAAGGCTGTCCTAAAATGATCACTATTGAGAATCTTGGATGAAAGTGCCTAATTTGAAATGATCACAATTGGGAATCTTGGATGTAGGTGCCTTATTTGAAAATGATCACTATTGGGAATCTTGTGGTGTTCACCAAGTCACAAAGACATGTAGTTTTCTGTAGGATTTGGTGATAGAGAGGAGAGTCTAATAAAGGATACATTATACAAGAATAAAAATGAGAGCTTTCCAAAACTTGTATGATTCTTTAGTCATGATGTTGAAACGTTAAAATATTGTGACAATAATATTGAGTTTGATTGAAAATTTGCTAAAGGTAAATAATAATATTTGATCAAGTCTGAAAATGATATGAAGTATGTGTGGTTAAGAACTTGGGTGGATCATGTCATAAGTCGTGCTATGTCTTGAGTCGTGCACTCTGGATTAGTGTGGATAAAAATATGGTGGATGGGAGCATGGGGCAAGAGTATCATGGTACCGTAAATGACTATAATATCAATAATTTAATGATAACCATAGGTGACAAGTAAATAATGAAGTCAGTGACCTAGTGGTGAATCATGGTGAGAAATAGTTCTGGTAGTCACACAGGGTTATTGGAAAAGTTTGATAGCTTAAAAAGAATGTGAATTTGGGGACTTATGATAACTGTGACAAATAGAAAAAACCACGGGAAAATATGAGGTATTCTAATGGGACATAAAGCAACTTATAAGAATGAAACTGAAGGGAAGAGCTGTGATGGCATGAATGGACTTGAAAATATTTTAACGAACCATAATACTAGTAGTTTGAGATTAGTGGATTGGTTGATTATTAGCCGATAAATATTTTATGGTGAAGATAGAGAATTCACTAGAAGAACTTGGACATTAATTATTGTGTTGGTGAATGGAGTTCACTTGATTGGGTTGTAGGTTAACAATCAAGACTTGGACTAGGAAACCTAAGTTCCGAGGATGAAACTTCCATTTAGGGAGTAGATATATATATTCATAATGTTAAGAATATTCATAACGTAATGAAAATGGTCTTAGAATCGAAGCGTAATTCATAGAATATCGCGAGGTTTAAGTTTCGTTCATATTGACTTGTTGCCTAAATATAGTGTTGGAGGCATGTAAGCTTTAGAAGAGTAGTTAAATAATAATTCTAAAATATTTTCGGTCAAAAGAACGTTGCTTTTGAATCTGGAGAGGCGAAAAATGTTGGGTTAGACATTTAGTCAGTATTGCGATCTAAAAGGGTTTGGCATTTTGGGTATAATTCGGCATGAATTTTTATAGAACTCATAAAAATAAATTTTTTTAGGTTGAAATGACATTAAAAATAGATCTGAAACGTTGAAAACCCATAGGGTAGTCATTCAGATCAAATTGGAGATGTTTAAGGGCAAAACCATAATTTCGGAGAAAATGCATATTTTTTGGTCCTATGAACAGTACCTGGGTGCAAATTTTTGCAATTATAACCCCATTTTCACTCCCATTTCTCTCATTTTTCTCACACCTATCACCTAAAACTACTCCATACACCTTAAAATTAGAGAGAGAAATAGAGAAGAAGAGTTAAGAAGGTCGTTAGAGCATAGGCTTTTGCTTATAAACATAAGAACATTATTTGAAATTCTTGAATTCACTTAAAGATTTGAAGGTGGAGTTTTCGTTCTTAGGTTTTGAGGTAGGATTCTCCTTTCTCTTACATATACATTGATGCATCTCATGTAGGTTTTATATCTATTTGTTTAATATGAACTAAATATATGTTTTCATGCTATGGGTCGTAATTAAATGATTAGTTTACTATGAAATTATAAACCTATATGCATTATATGAATTGGTTATTGTGGGTTTGAAACCCTAACTTGATTTTTATTATGTCTGTTTGATTGAATTAAGATTTTGGGTTCTTTAGAGTATATGTGATTTTGTATATAATGTATTTGATTTGTCTCTTAGCAATGGGTATGATACTTTGTAAATGTGTTTTGAAGATTTTATGTCTATCATGTGTGTGATAAAATGTCAAAATGACTATAAATATTGAAATGATGAATTGTGAAGAGAGATATTAATTCATGATTGAGTGTATTTTATCACGATTTTGAGTATTGTTAATTTATTCTAATATATGAAAAGGGTAGTATTGATGTACATAACTTCTCAACCCTTTAACTTGTGAATTTTTATATAAAAAGGTACAAATTGTATTTTTGGTGTGAGTTAGTTATTTTTAAAATGTGTTATGTTGAA